TAATATTTATAGCTACAATAGCCAATAGTGTGAGCCACCTTAAAAAAAAACGAGCACACGCGTAGCGGGGCAACGAAAGCTCCAAAATAAAAAAAACAAGGATTTTCTTAAAATATAAAGCAATAGCTTCAGTTGCACATATGGAATTTTCGATTGAATAATTTGTTTTTTTGTATTGTTAAAAACCAGAGGTCAATGTCTCACCGATTTAGGAATTTTTTTCTTCAAAAGTCCGCCATTTTGTAACAAATCATTTTTTTTTTAAATCCATACGTGCAACTGAAGCTATTGTCTTATATTTTAAGAAAATCCTTGTTTTTTTTGTTTTGGAGTTTTCGTTGCCCCGCTATCCATGCGCCCGTTTTTTTTAGGGGGCCCAAACTATTGGCTATTGTAGTTATAAATATTAATATCTTTTAACAAAAATTTCACCAAAGGTAGTTCAAATTATGTACTTTGTGATGTTAATAATGCGATTTAAAAAAAAACAATTATCTACTAGAAAAAAAATCCTTAAAAGTAGTCAATCTAATATAAATTTTAAAAAAGAAGATACTTACAATTAATTCTTCGAGTATTTGAATGCGGTTCATAACGAGACGTCAGCTGCATTTTATATATCAAAATCCCATTCCTTGTACATCACTTCTTCATGATCTCTCAGACGATGATCCAAATCTATTGTATTAGATTTCCTCAAGCCGATTTCTCGGCCTTGTACCATTTGTACAAGTGAAGTCACAGGAGTGTTTGTAGACAGCGCCGGGACACGGACATCTATGGGTTTGTAACGTTTGCGTAACGAATGTCTTAAACTTTCAAGTCGCGCGATTCTGCCAAACAGCGAATGAATTCCGCGCCTCTGTTGTCAATATCGCGAGTCGGTACTGTTCTTCCAACCACTCGAGACACTCAAGGCACGTTCTTTCCCATAACCCGCATGAACACGCCGACTCCACCTCTATGTAAAACTCCCATAGATATTGTTCTAATCGCGCAATGTATTTGGGTTTCTCCATATTTGCAATTCGTCTTTTTCACAACACAAGTTTTTGTCCAGCTTATACAATGCAAATTGAACACATATTGCAGGGCATTATCTGATACAGCGGTTTTCTACACTCTGCACAAGACAATCCCAGGATTAGTGCATAAATTGCACTTTCATGTTCTCGCACAACACGAATATTCGAAAATAAGTCTGAAATTCGCATAAAACTGTCTGTGCAAAATTTTTCATTGACGTCACTTTTATAATAAAAGTATATACAGCACATTTTCACCGCACCTAAACTATTTATTTCAACTCGGTTTAAAGTACGTTGCTTTATGTCCGTAATAATATCAATACTTCAATCACTATTGTAATCGGAATCCTCCGAAAGTACGCGGTCTTCGTCTGATGAATCGTCCAACAAATTCTCAAATGCCATCAAATTGCCATCTTCGAGAATGATATCCTCGTCATCATCAATAACTATAACTTCTTCGTCAGCCATAACACATATTGTTAAGATCGTCGTAAGGGCGTAGACGGTTGCGTACTATAACATTGCACACTCCTCCCGATTATATATATTTTAATTTCATATATTTTGTCTCATTCTAACTGGAGTATCACGTCTCACCTACCTCATCACTTTTCTACATCTTAAGCAGAGTATGTCGAGAGAAAGATTTAAGTTTTGCAGACTGTGCATATCTATTACACAGTTTTTATTCATACATAAAGGATGGGATAAATAATTAAATTCACAAGATAAATAGTAAAATAACTTATTTATTACAAGCATCATGAAGAATAGCTTCGAATGTTAAATCTCGGACCCGCAATGGGATTTCAGTCGATTGTAGAAGCTGTTCAACGTCCCCACGTTTTTGCATCAGCGATTTCCATGTGTCAAAAAGCAATATTATTTGATTGCCCCGTCACACAAGTGGTCGATGCAATACTGAACGTATTAAACATATTTAAAATATGTATTAGCGTTGCAAAATTGCAACGTGGTGAGGATTATTGCCGACGCGATATTTTTTTTCAATTTTTCCATTCAAGCGCCGATGTACGGCTGCTTCGCGATGACATCACCCCCAGGTGTAAGAGTTAGCGGAATGCACAAAAAATACAACGTAATATAAAATTTTCAAGCGCCGATGTGCGGCTGCTTCGTGATGACATCATCCTAGATATCAGAATTCAAACGCGCGTGTCAAAACATGACAAAATCGTCTAGCATCGCTCGAAGAATTTCAGGAACGCGATAGCGGGTGGGCATTGTCGCGAATACTCGATTTAACTGTAAATATAAATAAATATAATCCTTTGCGCGCGGGATGTCACATAAAATTACCGCGGGCGATAATAATGAAGAGAGCGGTGATCATCGTGCAATCTAATGACAATGCGTGTTTCGCGTGGTCTGTGGTCGCCGCTCTACATCCAGCTAAATTGAAAGTGGATCGGGAATCTTTGTATCCTCATTATACGAAAGTGCTGAATCTCCAGGACATTGAGGTTCCAGTGACTGCGAATCAAATTAAAAAATTTGAACTTGCCAACGATATCTCAATCAATGTATATAGTATCGAGGAAAAGAACATTGTCCCGATACGTCTGAGTGAGCTGAAAAGAGACAGACATGTCAACTTGCTGTACATTGAAGACAACAACGTTAGACATTTCGCGTGGATCAAGAATCTATCCAGGCTCGTGAGCTCGCAATTAAGCAAACATAATGGTCAAAAATATATCTGCGATCGGTACGTATATATTTAATTAATCACATTGTAGATATAATGCAACAAAAAATTAAAAATTATTTCTTTTACAGATGTTTACACTACTTTGATTCGAATGGCAAGTTACAATCACATACGGTGGACTGTCGAGAGATGAACGAGTGCGCTATCCGATTACCGAGCGATAAGGACAAGTGGCTCACGTTCAACAATTATAATCGGAA